ACATCATAAGGTATTATAGGGCACTGACTTTACAGGCTGATAAGGTAAACATCATAAGGTATTATAGGGCACTGACTTTACAGGCTGATAAGGTAAACATCATAAGGTATTATAGGGCACTGACTTTACAGGCTGATAAGGTAAACATCGTAAGGTATTATAGGGCACTGACTTTACAGGCTGATAAGGTAAACATCGTAAGGTATTATAGGGCACTGACTTTACAGGCTGATAAGGTAAACATCGTAAAGTATTCTAGGGCACTGTTTCTCAGCTGGTGGGATGTGACCCAAAAGTGGATTGCAGGCCCATCTTCAGGGGGTCCCAGAGCGTGTTTCAAAATAAATAAAATAAAAAATGCTGGATTTTTTTGTTATTTAACCACTGGCACAATACAATTTCAGAGGAGAAACTGACTTACTGAGCCGTGCAGAAGAAATTCAAGGCCAAACAGCTGAGAAATAGCGCTAATGACGGTCAGACTTCTGCACAGTCCTCCCCACGGAATTCACTGTATGTATCAAACACAGACCACCCACTGAAGTTCTCCCAAATTGCACTGCAAATCAGGCAGCTTCGGAGGTCATACCGACGACGGTCAGCCGGGTGACGGCAGAGTCCTGGTCCAGCGTGGTGTTCACAATGCAGGTGTAGCTGCCCACATCAGCCTCAGTCACGTCCTGGATGGTCAGGCTCTCAGGACCGATCATGAACCTAGAGATGCGGATGCAGTGGGTCAGCAGTGGCATATTCTAAGGAAAAGGACCTTCATTACCAGTTAATTGTTTCTGCTGCAGGTGCTATGGTGGTCATAGATCACAAACCCAATAATGCAGAATGCAAAATGAACATCCATCCATCCATCCATCCATCCATCAATCTATCCATCTTCTAACCACTAATCCTGGTCACTACAGCTACAACTTCACATTTTGCGGTGTGCACCCTGAACCCCCACCTCTCGTCATCCGGCAAACCCCCATCATCCTTCAGCCATGTCGTGGTGGGCGTGAGGGTGGGGTCGTGCGTCACCTTGCACTCAAACACCACCGCTCGACTCCTCTGGACCACCTTGAGCTCAGGCTGCTTTAAAATTCTGGTGGGTTCTGAGGAGGAGGAGGAGGAAGATGACTGAGGTTTAGCAAGAGCTTGGAACGAAATTAGCAAGAGGCTTTTACTAATGCATGATGACATGAGCTTGGCATGAAGTATTCAGAGCATGCTAAATTTAGGAGGGACCCAATGCCCCTGGGGCTTATGGGGGGGGGCTGTAACTAATGAGAAAAGGTAAAAACATCTGTCAAATCAGTGCCCTCGCAGTGGGAATCACACAGTGCTCTTATCCAATAGCAGGAGAGTATTCCCATACAGCACAAGGGACTGCAAGGATAACTGCCCTATCATCCCATAGTGCCCCAACCAGGCCTTGAAGCTGTACGCTGCATATAAAGTCATTTATACTGAAACTTAGTCACGTGTCTACAGCCAGGGGTTGGGTTAAATCAATAAAATTTGTCATGTATTAGATTTTACAGACATTGAATTGGTTGTGGAGAGAGCCTGGTTCAGTTACTGGAAGCCAGCAAGCCTGCTGGAGGTTGCAAACACTCCTTAGACACTACATATGAAACCTTTAATCATCAACAAAACAAACACAATCCTACAGGCTTAAAGGTGCAATGCAGCCCATACACCAAGACTGAAGCCTTACACTGGACATTGGACATCTTGTGCAGGGCTCGTCTCGGTCCACTTTCAACCTCACCTTTGACCTCCAGGAACACCTGGTTCTCCCTGCTGCCCAGGATGTTGACAGCGATGCAGGTGTACCTGCCGCTGTGGGAGCTGTGAGCCTCTTGTATCTCTAGGGTCCCGTTCTCATATATACTGTGCTGGTCTCCCGCAGTGACGCTAACATGGCCGTCCTTGAACCTGCCGGGGAACACCACTGGGTGCTTAGCTACACACAGAGAAGGCCCAAGTGGCAAAGCCAGCAGAGAAATGCTCTCGGGCAGCCGTGTGAATGAGCGACTGCCGGAAATGAAGAGCAATGCAGGTGATTAGGAGAGCGGGGAGACCGCTGGTAATGCGAGCGCCTCAGGAACGGCCCGGGCAAAGCCAGCGCATCCTCCCCCTCCGCATCCCTGAAACTTGCCATGTGATCACGGGAATCGGGGATCCGAAAACGGCGCAGTCCAGAAGTGCACGTGTGCCGGCGATGACCTGGTAGACCTTGTTTGAGGGCGTGAGCACCCTCGGCGGCTCGGCTAAAACGAGACACGAACAAAGGTCATTCCGGCGACCATGGTCAGAAGCAGAGCCACACGATCATAGCTAGCTAGCTGGTTAGCAGAACATAAATAAGGAATGAACTACTATTTAGTGTAGTGACTGTTTGTGGCCAACAGGGGCATGGTTTGAATGGTAGTTAACACCAGCACTGGCTAGATGAAGTCGGACACATTTTGAAATGCAACCAAGGATTCGGCTTTCTGCAGAGGAGTCGGGGCTTCCTCAGCTTAAGGATCTCCATCGGCGCCATCGCTCTGCATAAAGCTGATTTCAACTTACCAAGCACGTTGACCAGTGAGTTGGCCAGCACGTAGCCATATTCATTGGAGGCGTTACACTGGTACACCGCACTGGATCCCACCTGAATGTCCGTAAAGGTGATTCTGTCACCCTCCAGCTTCCTGCTGGGGTCCACGTGAGTATCTGACGAGATATCACATCCCACCCTCAGCTCCTCTCTGAGCGCTACACACACAGTTAATCGCAGTTAATTTGTCCCATGGTGCACTCACTCTCTATGGTAATCCCATTCATTAACCAAGTGATCTCAGGCTTGGGATCGCCCCCAGCTTGGCAGGTGAGGACACCAGTCTCTTTGGGGGATAGAATGAGGTTCTTGGGGGCTTTGATCCAGTAGGGGGCAGCTGTGAGCACATAGAGAGGTCATCCATTAATAGATTTTTAATGGCACAGGAACTTGGTGTAAACGTGGCTGGCAACATGGTGTACAATGGAGGAGAGTGATCAGCAGAGCATGGTAGACCTTTGACAGTGACGGTGATGACGTGCTCCAGAGAGCCCAGGGAGTTCTCGGCCTGGCAGCGGTAATCCCCAGCGTCGCCCTCCGTGATGTCCACAATCTTCAAGGTTTTGTGGAAGTTCTTGAAGGAGGTCCTCTTATTGTGGAAGGACCCATTGTCTCGGTGCCATGAAATCTTGGGCGTCGGCCTTTACGGGCGTGGAGAGGGACGGCTTGGCCATCAACACCACAGACAATACAGGCTGACAGAAACAAAAGCAAAAGCCCAAACCCAAACCCAACTTACAGGCCCTCAGCAATACACTCCAGCTCCAGAACTTCTCCTCTCAGCACCACCTTGCTGGTGGTGGCCCCGGGGGGTAAGAGGAAGGTTGGGGGGCGCTCTCCGGCGGGACTGTCTGAAACGGCAACAGGAGACAGTCCCAGTCATGGGGGGCTTCCCACAGCCAGGAAGATCTATGGAATACCCATCGCAAAAAGGCAGTGAACCAAGAATTATGCCAAATAAAGGCACTATTTCTTAAATAATATGTTGCATTTCTATTGTGTTTCACCATGGAAGTGCCCTGGATTCAAAATAAATATTACACTGGCCAGGAAAGAAACGTAATTCTATCCAAAGCAGGGTCAGAGAGTCTCTGGAGCAATTGGGGGGTTAGGGCCTTGCTCAGTGGCCCAACAGTGACATCATTAGAGGCCTTGCTCAGGAGCCAATGCTGACATCACCCTGCCAACTCTGGGATTTGAACCAGTGACCTTCTGATCACAGGTACAGGGTCCTAACTCACAGGGGCACACAACTAGCAGGACAGCAGGACCATCTAGATCCTCTGTAACACTGAACGTCAGCTTGTGCACGTCTGGCCTCCAGTGAGCTGTGGCACCGCAGTGGTCAGCGCACTCAGCAGCAAGAGGAATCTGGGGACACTCATCCTTCCGCAAAGCAGGACCGTCTGCCAGCTCCATCCACAGTGAGGCCCCTCAGCCTCCTGTCTACACGCAGGAATCTCTGGCCAATTACAGGCCATCTGCATGTTTACTTTATGTTACAGTGAACCATGAGACAACAAACGACAGAAGCATGAGATTTTAAAAAATGCTGACAGTTACAAAGGAGATTAGAGAATAATCACTAGGACCACTCACTGGGGATACGTGTCCTTTTATGTTTATTTTGTGCTCGTTCCACATATAAATATTCATAAAAGGACATGCAGAAACAGAGATATGACACAGTGCACCACATTAGTGAGGGGGCACTGAAACAATGAGCAATCAGTGGGTTTCATTAGCATTTAAAAATCTATGTGTTAGATGGTTAATCTACTGTTAGTTAAGAAGATAAGATTTTTTTTCCTGCACTTATGAAATAAACATGAAGCACTGAATTGAAGCCATCGTTTTCGACTGGCTGATTTTTATATCCCGACTATCAGTCAGGAAAAGTTACATTTTTACAAGAAATGGAGAATAAATCAAGATCTGCTTTAAAATATATAGTGCAAATCTCAAGTTTTATTTTTAGATACTAGACTTTAAAGAGGAAGTGCAATAATTATATGACATTAAAAGTCATTTAAGTCTATAAAAGTGCAATTGCACGATTTTCATTACAATTTGTAATTGTTTATAATTCAGCTACAGTTAAAGGTGACAAAGGGTTTGGTGTTAATATTACGAGGGTGATTTCTATCACTGTTAGACTGGGAGGTATACACTAGGGGTTGCCAGCACTCACCACCAAAAAAATCAGTGTCATTGAAAAATGGTGCCATTGTCTCATTGATTGCATCCACTGCAACACAACAGAAAATGATAAGAAAATGCAACACAACAAACAAACGTGCTGTCACTGATGCTGTAAATGAAAAACAGTGCACAACAAAAAAAACTTTGTAATGAAGAAAACAGCATGAAGCTTGCAAAAAAAAAGTATTAAATGAGTTACATCTGAATTGAAAAATACGACTGAAACTGAATATATAGTAAATCCCCCTAATGGCAAAGCAACAGAGGAGTTGCTGCTGGAGAATGAGACACCAGGCCTTCATTTCTTGGCACAGAGCGGAGGGTGGAGTCGGGCCAGAGCACACTTACTGTTCAGCACCTTCACTGTGACTGGCTGCTTCTGCTGTATGGTCTGCGTGTGGGGGAAGCGTGCATAGCAGATGTAGTCGTTGCGCGAGTCCTGCCTCCGCACGTTGGCGAAGTACAGGTCCCCGTTCATGGCCTGGGAGACACGGCCGTCCTGGGGAAGCTTCTGGAAGTCTGGAGGGGTGGGATGGATACAGAAAGGGCTGCAGGTCTGGGGAGGAGGGAGTAGCGACTACAGGCACCTGGCCAATGCCGGCGGCATCCCTTCGTGTTCTTTGAAAATCACAGCCGTGTGGAATTGACAGTAACTCATTGTGCATCATGTTACGCAGAGATGTATAAGTATAGATGCATTGTAATTTATCATTACATAGCAATGCTGCGACACTGCGACCCCCACAGCTTCGTTGTCATTTACTTAAAACTTTATATACAAGCACTTAACTTTTCTAGTAAAATCAGGAAGAATGATAAAATTAACAAAGTTAAAGTCCAGTACTATCTGATTTATTTGCACATGTAACATCTGTCAGTTTCTTATTCTTACCTTTAAAATTTACTTTTGTATTTACTTCTGTAGGATCAGAATATTCTCTTCTACAGCTTGTTTTTTGTGTACTGTGTGTTTACTTGTTTGCACTTTTTTGTGTACTGTGTGTTTACTTGTTTGCACTGGCCTGTGTACTGTGTGTTTACTTGTTTGCACTGGCCTGTGTACTGTGTGTTTACTTGTTTGCACTGGCCTGTGTACTGCCTTTGCACACGCACTGTTTGGCACTACATGCTCGTCTGCTCATTTCGATCACACTGCTGTATGCCCCAGAATTTCCCACCGGGATCAATGAAGCCCATCTTAATCTTAATTAATCTTAAGGGAAGCGAGGCATGGGATGATCCTGGGAGAGCCCTCAGGAGGCCAGCTGAGGCTTACTGTTGTCCATCCAGATGATGACGGGCGGAGGAAGGCCGGCAGGCGGCTGACACCGCAGGACCAGAGACACTCCCTCCTGCACTAAGATCGGCGCAATGTTCTCCTTTGACCACAAGGGGGACCCTGAGGGGCAAATAAGACAAGCGGTGGAATATGGAGCGAGGAACATCGTCAACAGCAAAGCTACGAGCCCGGGCACAGCGAGGAACAGGGAGTGTGAGCCGGTAAAGCCGTCCTGAAGGCACGGAAAGAGGCCAAGGTAGCAACTTTGGCAACGGGGGCTGTTTTATTCTAGCTAAAGTCGACAACCTACCAAAGGTGTAACAGAGAGGGATATTGCCGTTTGAGGGAAGAGTTGGGAATGTAGGTGTATCATGCAGATTGAACCTGTATTACTTTTACCTTCCAGGTAGAGCGATCGGATGACTGAAAAGAAATCTAATTTTTCAGACAGGAGACAGAAGCAGGTTGGTAAGGCAGAGAGATGAGAATGGCGGTGTGTTAGAGGTGTGAATCGGGGAGATCCATGGCCCTGGCGCTCTTACGGGACTGGCGGATGACGATGTTGTTGGAGATGGCGGTCCCGTGGATGTTGCGGGCCATGCACTGGTAGATGCCCTCGTAAGCCTCAGCCTTCTCCCCGCTGATGTCGATGACCAGCGTCCCCGAGCGGGGCCTCATCGTCACCTTAGGGTCCTCGTCGATGTCAAAATGTGTCCCGTTCCTGGTCCAGGAAAAGCTGCACACGCCATGTTTGTGCCAGGTTACCAGCCAAATTGGTTACTAGTTCATACAAGACCTGGCTAGCAAATCACCACATCCATTTAAATACACATATCCCATCATGCACTGTGCTTTGTACAGTCAGACGTGGGCCAATGGCTGATCGGGAGAGCTGGAGGGGGGTGGGTGTTGAATGTGAGCATGCTCAGAGCCGCACGCACCTGGGGTGAGGCTTTCCTTTAGCCTCGCACAGAAGGACGATGTTTTCCCGAGGATCTATGATGTAGTTCTTCGGAGACTGGTGCGTAATGGTGGGCGGCTGGGCCACTGGGTTCGAGGAAGAGGCACGCCACATAAACACTCACACACACACTGAAACAGTTTCATTAAAAGATTTCACTGCATTTCATTCAAAGGTTTGGAGACCATGCATATCTTAAAAATAGCTGAACCGGACAGGCGGCACTAAACAAAAACAGACAGAAGGGCATGCAGTGGCGGACAAGTGAACGATGAGGCGTCACCGCCTGCCAGCTTCAGTCACAGTTCAGCAGGATGACCTGATGTGTAGGAGGAGGCTGCAGCTATGAGACAGCGAGCAGGCGATGGAGCAGGCAGATACAGTAAATACCCAGAGTGCATGCAGGTTCTGGGAATGAGTGGAAAACAAAGTGGCAAGCAGGCAGAAACACAGACCCTCAGAAACTTACATTCTCCCAGAATTTTAGCTTTTTTCCCCAAGAATCAGCAGATAAACAGAAAAGCAGCCATTAGTATCAAGGAACCAACACACAGTAAATCTTTCCCCACGACTGCGGTCACCCCGACAAAATGACGCTGATATTTCAGTTCTTCTAACCACACGATGATCTTCACAAATGGTTTTTCCAGACACGTATTACCTAGATCATTATCGAAATGACGTGCAGAATCACGCAGACACTGGTGTAGCATTTAGCAATAAGGCCTCTCCTCGTACAACTCGTGGGAACACCCCCATTCAGCGATGATCTGGGGGCATGGTGACGCGGCGTGGCAGAGGACGTCCCTGTCAGTGACCTGCCGATCCCCACGTGTCGCTGTGACCCAATCTACTCCTACCTCCCCCCCACCCCCGAAACCTGATAAGGAACCTTCAGCCCTGAAACTTAAGTGCTCAGCTAAATTTCCCATGAGACCTCTGGGGTTTCCCACTGAGAAGATCCCATGAAGCTAAAGCCAGAGGCTACGTACTGGGCGGTGATGTGGGGGAGTTCATTCATTCTCCCTGTCCTCCAGGAACATCTAGAACTTTTTGGACAATGCTGTCAGAACTGAACACACAATGTTCCAGAGTAAATTGACTTCACAGGGAGACCGGAGGCGATGGTATTAAATGCCACTCCCAATCAACACCCCATAAGAACCACACAAGCCAGAACCTACGTTAAACCCTAAACAGTGTCTGTCCAGCCCCTAATCACCTCAGTCTTTGCCTCCGTCTGATAGAGTGGCTACCTATCTGGCCTAACTTTGCAGCGCTCAAAGCCAAGAACCCATCAGGAGAACCTGGGAAACAGGCCGACAGTGCTCAGCACTGAGGCATCAGCGATGCCTTCAAGAAATTTTCAGGACTGGAAATGCACTGGAGGAGAAGTTCTGTTTGTAGCTGCATGCGGAGATGACAGTACATGGCATCGTACAGGGTTGATGAAGAGCTTCCCAGTGCCCATGATCTAAAGTTTCATTACGGTCAGCAGAGTCTCTACGCACCTAGAGCCCGACAGGCCCCCAAAGACCAAACAGCATCACTGCCTCTACTCAGGCTCATGAGAGCCACAGGCATATATAGAAATTCTTCAGTTATATATATTTTGTTTTCTATTTGCATACAAAATATAAAATAACCAAACTGAACTAACATCATTTACAAGCAAATGCCGATGAACAGCTGTCTAAAGTAGCAACAATAACCGGAGTACTAGAGTAGCAATTGCGTCAATGTAAAAAATGTTAGTTTGTACTCACGGTCAAGAGGCACTTCCAGCGCGGTGATCATGTGACCCCAGAGCAGCACGAACAGGACCCCCTTGCACAGCTCGCGTTTCCCGCTCCCCTCCATCGCTGGCATGTCGGCGAGGGGATCCGGCAGCTTCCACAGGCTGAAGGCTACGTCCCGCTTCACTCCGCAGTCAAAAAGGCTCCTCGCTCAAGCGGCGTCTGACACTATAATCAGCCAGCAGGGGGCGAGATTAAAAAAGAGAGAGAGGCCCATGACCACAATGGCACTGGAGCCTTGGGTTCAGTCCCAAAGACCTTGACTCAAAGTGCAGGAACATTCACTGTGGCAGGGCTTCTGGTAGCCTGAGTGGCAGTGATCTGGGCACAGAGGGGGTGGCACTGAGCTGTCCTATGACCCAGCTGTAATGATGGCTGACTGCCTTAAGCTGGCGTATTGGCAGCGAGCCAGTGCACATGGGCACGGTTGGGCACACTGACGGATATACCCCGTGGCACGGTCTGCTTCCCCATCCACGTTCAGCGCCGAGAGCAGAGTCTGCACATGGCATTTCGTAGCATAGAACACAGTACAGGTTCAAGCATCAGCAGAAAAGACAATATACTTCAAATCCACTTCCTGTTTGAGTTCAGCATTGTGAGAGTTCATGTTATTTACTCGTTTTAGTTATAAGTTGTAAGGAGGCTACTTTTATATTATTTTCAATGCAGTGAATCTCCGTTGTGTATGTGAGCTTGAGAAACTTCAAGTCAGCAGAATACTGTTCTACTAGAACTATTTTATTGACTGATACTATCAGTTATGGGAATTTTTAGCTCCTCAGAATCGGTAAGTTTCCGGTGACGCCGCCACATGTGGCTGAAAGCCAAGGAGGAAGAGCGGGAATTAGGCAGTATTTCCAGGCCCGTTTCAGACCCCCCATCCTTCCGGTCCGCTTGGGCTCTCTGTCCTAGGTGCAGCAGCACTTCATTAATCTATAAGCCAGGAACTCCTGGGCGAGACAGCAGCCGCATTCCTGTAAACATTCCCTGGTTACAGTACTGAAGTCTCAGCTCTAGATAAGGAACTGGTGGCCTGAACCCAGTTGTGTTCTCTTAACCTTGATTTGGCTGGGGGTCTTAGGTAATGCTCTTCCAATCGTGTTAAACACACTTTGAGTCAGGCATTGGGTTTGGTTCTCCGATTGTATTTATCAGAATTGTTTTCACACATAGCTGAGTACATCAGCGCTGCTGCGACATCACCATCCAAACACATCCATCCGACAGAGAGATGGTGGGATTGAGGACTTTGGTGCACTTTAATTAGTCAGCACTCTCAGGTCTTAAACCCATACAGATGAACTTGCATTATTTGCCACAAGCATGCATCTCTTTCTGTTCAATCTTGCTGGCAGAGCAGATAGACTGATTAAAAACATACCTAATGATCGCAGCCCTGACTGCAAGACTGACCCGCCGATCAAGCATTTTGCTGACCCACAAAGCAGTTCAGTTCTCTGCCAGTGAAGCCCCAGTCGCATGGGTTGCACGTTCCATTTCTCCAGCCATTTCAGGTACCATAAACACTTGGAAACGGTGAGGCTCGCTGCCCCTGGCCCTCGGAATGAGCCGCTGCCAATTACCCAGTGGGAGTAGCAACAATCTGAGGAAACATTTCACCAGACTGACTAAATTCAATTCATGCAATAGGCTACATTACAGTGCAACACTTAGGCATTCATTTTCTCTGGGTAATAAGTGTAAATTTCATCAGAACTAAAGAGCAGTTTAATTACAACACATGGAAATTAAAAGTAACACTATTAAAACCAACCAAAAGGTTACTGATACCTAGTTGGACGGCTAGACGACACCTTTAGGTTCCTAAACCTCTTCTCAGGGGAACCCCAGCCATTCCATGCATCTGTTACATTTCACCACCAGCTCACTTAACTAGTTAATAACTTAACTAATTTTAAAAACTCAGCAAGGTATTGAGTCGCCCTACGAGGTGTGCTAGTGGTCGAGTCAAAAAATACACTGGTGTACCAGATAATTGCTGCAAATTCTGGGGTGACCTTAGGAGAGGAATTAGCAAACACACTTTAACAGATGTCATAATTTCACAGCAACACGGTGATCGACTAAGTATCTTTTTCTCTGACTGCCTACGACTTTTGCATAGTACTGCATATTAATGGGGAAATAAGGTCATGCCGGCAATGACAGGAACCACAGGGTCCTTACAGACAATAAATGCCTCTCATTGACAGCACTAGTGCTAGCAGCTGCTGCAAAAATAACTGTATCCTTCCAGTGTCAGTCTTTGCACGGCCCACAGAGGTTAATGAAGCCCAGCTAGTGCACCGAGCCCCCCTGCTCCTGACAGGCAATGGGGGCAGCCCTGTCTGCTAGCCAATGAGAGAAGCCCTGTCTGCTAGCCAATGGAGGCAGCCCTGTCTGATAGCCAATGGGAGCAGCCCCTGTCTGCTAGCCTCAGTAAGCGGTGCCATCCCCGTGTGTCCTTGTATTTTTGCTGCTGGGAATGTAAAGTCCTGGAAATGGGGGCCGTGTGTGGTGTGCTCTCAAGAGAAGCCCCATTCCCGCAGCCTGCCATCGGCCTGAAGCAACCATACACACAGTAAACCAAAGACAACATAGGAGAAAGAGGCACCACTACCACAGAGAGAAACAATGAACCTGATTGTCACACAGCAGGACCACTGAAGGCACAGTGAAGGCAGAGCTACCAAACACTGCAGGACCACTGAAGGTGCAGTGAAGGTAGAGCTACCAAACACTGCAAGACCACTGAAGGTGCAGTGAAGGTAGAGCTACCAAACACTGCAGGACCACTGGAGGCGTAGTGAAGGCAGGGCTACCAAACACTGCCGGACCGATAAGGACTCCCCCAGGCCATGGAACCCTCCCCCCTGTACAGCTTGCAGCTCTGGGGTCTGAGCTCTGCCATGGAGCATATCACCAGTTCAGCAATAGCCCACACTGCCAATCTAGGTTCTTGCCAGACATGCCAGAATTTGACCAGCCGAGTGGGATATTTTTAACCTGCCTGTAACAAATGCCAAAGGCAGCAAGCCTCACCTCAGTGCAATCTGGACGAAGACACTGTCAACCAATAGGTGCAAATGCCAATGACATTAATCCTTGGCACAACATGAGCCCGACGCTGTCGACCACCAGGACCAAATGCCTGTTACCGAAGTCACCACAATCTGTTAGGTCCACCTCCATTACAGTAAGGGAACAATATGTGTGATCCACCATCTTTCGGGTGGAGTGAGAGGATTCCTGGAATAGCCACACAGTAAGAGAAGGAAAACTGAGAATCAGGAAAAAATATCATCCACCTTCACTTTCTGTTAATCCTCAGATTTAAATACGGGGTTATTATTTGAACTTTTTCTTGTCACAGTGAATAACATGATCTGTAAAAAAGTACGGAAATATAATCCAGCACCAATGGAAAGCTGCTTTCAGAATAATTCGAGAAGCACGAGGTGTTGGCCGTTTCTCAGGCAGAATTACGGCTCTGAGAAAGGAAGGAGGACCGATGTCCTGTGAAGCACGTTTAGCAGTCATCCCAAAGGTCTCCCTTTTTTTTAATAACAGTAAGACTGCAGGGTACTATCCAAGACAACTAGATTACGCCACTCTTCCTTCTATCGTGTGCTTTCGTCAGATATTTTAAGTAATGATCCTGCAGAGAGAGTCATTTGCATAAGCTCAGTTTTCTGTGGCAGACTCTGTGGTGACGGTGGCCTAATTATTTTGCATAAAAACCACGGCACACACTGGAGAGTTGCTGACTCACGCTTCTCAGATTTTACGGTATGAGGAAATACCTTTGAAAACCTCACAGACAGCCCGTTCACATTAAGGCAGGGCCATGGGATCCTCTCAGTTTTCCGTCACCATTCTGGAGGATCTCAGCACGGCCTTGATCATTGATGCATTGTTGTGACATAAACCTACATTGTTTAATATAAGACGTGAATTCGGCTGCTTTATTGGTTAATATGGTGTCCAGCCCAGAGTGGTATCTTTTCAAAAACTTAAGTGCTAGATTTATCAGGTTGATATAAATGATACAGACCTACAAGGTGTCCAAAGATGTGCCCGTCTTTTGTTATGCTGTTCAGTCAGTTTGATTTATTAGTGCAATACGGTTTGGTAACAGTTTAATTAAAACGCGTGTAGCTGTCCTACACTCATCTCACCCAGATGATTTATTATTCTTGCGTATTTTTTAATCAATAGAGTCTGTATGGTTCTGGTTCCGTCTCAGGGCTCTGGGAAATGAATGAGGCCTCTTGTCCATAAGTTTTATCTCTGGACCTTTGTGAGCACCATTAGTTCTCCTTACAGACCAATAAAAGCAGATCAAATACTTCTTTGGAAATCGCATTGCCGTCGCCATATGACGGCATGAAGAGTAATTTCACCCAGGATGGATACGATATGCCTCTGCAGAATTAACCTCACTGCTATTCAGCAGCCAACCGTCACAGTGACATCTGTTCCCCGTTGCCAGGATTAATATGAAAACTGCAGTCCCCTCGGCACAGTGACCTTGACTACTGAGCTGTAAACACTCTGAGCGACTGGTCGAACACAATCCTTCACTGCGTATGGAAAAATAATTCACCACATTACCCGCCCATGGCCTCCTCCCACTCTAAAAAAAGGGAACAATGACAGACTAGTCGGGAAAACATAGCCATGAATTTTCAGAAACGAATAATTGCTGTTTTTTTTTTTATTTTATTTGGTGACACAAAAGCGACAAAGAATTAGCATTAAATTAGGAAGTGAGATGAGGACCACTGCTCATGGACACATCAACAGCAGCATCATAACGGTAAGATGGGCTGGGCCCCAAGCCCACATGAGTGGGAATGTTGGCTACTAAAATTTCATAGCCAGTATGCTCCGTGTAAATGCACTGAGCTGTCCGACTTCCACAAGCGCAGACCAGACAATCGCCCATTGTCTCCTTCCGGATAATTGGCTTTCTATACATGCACCAGGCACTCACTGAACATTTCGACGCAGGTGCACTCATGCAAGCAGCTGATGGCCGGGTTGGCTGGGCAGGGAGGCTTTTGGGATGGCAAACGCGGCAGACGGCGGCCCTTGGACTCTGCTGATGTCAATATCCTGGCTCATGTGCTTCTTCCGCCATTAGTGATAAAAGTACAACGTTA